CTGTGTGTGTGTGTGTGTGTGTGTGTGTGTGTGTGTGTGTTCATAGCATGCTTGTGGAGGTCAGAGGACAACTTGTGGAAATCAGTTCTGTCTTCCATCATGAGGTTCTGGGGGAGAAACCTCGGGTCATCAGGCTTGGTTGCAAGCATCTTTATCTACTGAGCCATCTCATAGACCCCGAGCCCTCCATTTCTGAAGGATGTCTTTACTGCATATGGTAGTTTTCCCCACATAGGCACTGTATATAACCCTGCTATCTCCCCCGTCTATACTGTGGCTTCTACAGAGAGAGAAATTGCTGCTAAGTACAAACACCCTTATGTGTTCCTTTCCTCTTGCTACTTTGGGGTTCCTGTCCTTGCCTTAAACTTTGAGAACTTTATTATAATAGGTCCAAGGGTAGATTTGGTTGAATTATATCTGACTGGTGCCCTTTTATCTTCCTCTACCTGGGTATTTACATCTTTCTCTACGTCTGGGGAACTTTCTGTTATCTGTTTTGAACATGTTTACTATCCCTTTGGTATGGTCAAGGCTCACTTGAAACCTAACAGCCTGAATACTACTCAGTGTGATCTACACATGTAGTTCTCTTCAAAATTTTTGGTCTTTTAATGCTATACCAAACTTCCTGTGTGTTTCCTTCAATCCTCCTCATTCTTGCTTTGTTTGGTTTTGTTTTTCTCCCTCAACTGTGTATTTTCAAATAGCCTATCCTGGATCTCATTGATTATTTCTCCTGTTTAATGTATTCTGCCATGAGTGCCTTTCATTGTGTTTATCATTTTATTGAGTGTACTTTTTAGTTCAAGGATTACTGTTTGATTTTTTATTACTTCAATCTTTCTGCTGTTTCTCTGATAAAGCACTGAATTGTTTCTCTAAGATTCCTTGAAGTTTATTGGGTTTCTTTAAAACAACTCTTTGAAAAAAATGTTTCCCCAAGTTCATACACGTTGACAGCTTTATGGCCAGTTTTTGCTGCTTTATTCTAGTACATTAGATAGGATGCTCCTGAAATCATGTTGGTATATGAAGAGATCTGCACTTTGAATCAATAGCTATTTATTATCTATTTGTAATCT